GGAAACAAAGGTGATTTAAGTGACTTTAAATGTGGTGTGGTTGTTGGTGCCAGACGGGCTGGTCTGAGTATTTCAGAAACTGCTGATCTACTGGGATTTTCACACACAACCATCTCTTGGGTTTACAGAGGATGATTGTTGGTGCCAGAGGTCAGAGGAGAATGGCCAGACTGGTTCAAGATGATAGAAAGGCAACAGTAACTCAAATAACCACCGGTTACAACCAAGGTCTGCAGAAGACCATCTCTGAACCAACAACACGTCCAACCTTGAAGCAGATGGGCTACAGCAGCAGAAGACCACACCAGGTGCCACTCCTGTCAGCTAACAACAGGAAACTGAGGCTACAGTTCACACAGACTCACCAAAACTGGACAATAGAAGATTGGAAAAACGTTGCCTGGTCTGATGAGTCTGGATTTCTGCTGCCACATTCAGATGGTAGGGTCAGACTTTGGTGTGAACAACATGAAAGCATGGATCCATCCTGCCTTGTATCAAGGGTTCAGGCTGCTGGTGGTGGTGTAATGGTGTGGGGGATATTTTCTTGGCACACTTTGGGCCCCTTAGTACCAACTGAGCATGGTTTAAACACCACAGCCTACCTGAGTATTGTTGCTGACCGTGTCCATCCCTTTATGACCACAGTGTACCCATCTTCTGATGGCTACTTCCAGCAGGATAACGCACCATGTCACAAAGCTCAAATCATCTCAAACTGGTTTCTTGAACATGACAATGAGTTCACTGTACTCCAATGGCCTCCACAGTCACCAGATCTCAATCCAATAGAGCACCTTTGGGATGTGGTGGAACGGGAGATTCACATCATGGATGTGCAGCCGACAAATCTGCAGCAACTGTGTGATGCCATCATGTCAATATGGACCAGAATCTCTGAGGAATGTTTCCAGCACTTTGTTGAATCTATGACACCAAGAATTAAAGCAGTTCTGACGGCAAAAGGGGTCCAACCTGGTACTAGCAAGGTGTACCTAATAAAGTGGCCTGTGAGTGTATTTTATAATTTCATATTAAAATGTTTAGAGGCTTTCTGCCATGTTGACTTTACTGTTTTAACACAGGTCGATGAATACAGCTGAAAACTAATGAGATCATCATCAAATCAAATCTTTTACAGCCCAAGTGGTTTCGACACGGAGCCAACCTTTCTATTATCCTCCCAATTTTTCTCCATCCCCAATAACTTTATATCTTAGCCCATTTGTCTCCTGGGTAATGAGTCATTCTGTGAAAAACAATGGTTTTTCATTAATCCACTTCCTCTGTGGCCTCGTGAAGTCATCTGATAATCAGCACTGAGTGAGTGACTTAACTGCCAGTGGACCGAGAAAACGGTTTAATCTTATCTCAATTGTCACAGTTGACTTGAACGTTTGAGCCCATTTCATGCATAAATTACACAGGCTTGGTGGAGACAGTGTCTGCGGGTGGGTGGTGGTGGCAGTAGGGGTGGCAGTGTGTGTGTGTGTGTGTGTGTGTATGTGTACTGTATGCAGGAATGGGTGTGTTGATTTATGCAGTTTGTGCCTCCTTCAAATCATTAGAGTCCTGCATCACAGCTGGATCCCTTCATTAACCAAACACTGGTTTAAAGCCAGATATGGGTGTGTGTGTGTGTGTGTGTGGGTGTGTGTGTGTGTGTGTGTGTGTGTGTGTGTGTGGGTGGGTGGGTGGGTGGGTGCATATGTATTCCTTCTGATGTTTTAATAGCTCATAAACAGAAAGGGGAAATAAGAATTGCTCATGTGAAGTATAATGTTCTTTTATGTAGATTTTAATGCCCCTTCAATGTGTTTGAAAAGGTTTTAATAAGTGTGTGTGTGTGTGTGTGTGTGTGTGTGTGTGTGTGTGTTCACAGATCCACTGTATATGAAGTCAGTATATCAGCCCAGCGACGCGTTGATTATCTGGGAATGGTGAACACTCGTTGAGAAATTTGTTGTCATGGCAGCGTTTATTCCCAGATTTAATTTCAGTAAAATTGGGCTGCTGTGAGAGTTATGTTTGTAAAACGCACAAATGATTCAACGGGAATATTATTTTTTATGAATCTTAACCCTCATAGTCTCTGCATTTTGCATTTGCATTTTTATATCAATGTTATAAATCATATTTCACAGAATCTTATTCACACGTTTAACGAGTCGGTACGTCTAAAAAAAAAAGCGAAACATTTCCCGTGTGGTATCTAGCTATGCACACAGTTAAGGTTTCATGTGTAGAGGCTCTGACATTTGCATCTCTGAAGCATCTGCTTGCATCACTGTACAGCAGAGGTTAATGGAATTAAAGGTACACTGTTGGTTACTGTTGAGTGACAGTGAGAGCCAACACCAGAAACACTCAGCTTTGTGCACTTGGCATTGCGCCACCATTTTCATAGCTCCCTCTTTGATGCATGCTGCTTATGATCTGGCACCTGGTCATTACCTTTTTATGAAGTCCGGACCTCACCTGAGGGCTTAGCCTGTAAACATCCCGCTCACAGCAAAATAAGCAGAAAATAAGAAAATACAGACAGAGGGCGGAGTCTCTGCTGAAAAATACAACACCACACACTTCAATTGGGTCATAAGTGATCATTAAGAGAGTTCAGTTTAGGACTAGATGTTACAATCCCTTCACGTACATACTTGAGACTATGAGTGGGAGTGATAGTGCCGTCTAAGGGCTTCAGAGTGGGAGCCAAAGAGCTAAGGTTAGATGGACAGAAAAGTAGGATAGAGAGACGTCTGTGCAGACTGAACTGTCCACTGCCGTAGTGGGCCGTACACTCTACCTCCCCCTACTCCCTCATTTTGATGGGAGAAGTGAGAAGAAACTAACAGGAGAAAAACTTACCTAACGTTAATCAAGGTGGAATTTAACTGGTTGATTGTTGGTGCACTGTGAGTGGTAGTTGGAGCCATGCTGGGGAAGGGGTTGGGGGTTCAGGGAAGGTGAAAGTTTCATTGGGGTCATCAAGCGGGAGACATTACTTTTGTAGAAGTCTATATGTTGTTTTTCAGGAAAATCCTGCACTGTACCTTTTACGTTTGTGTGACTCAAAGCATTTAAAGATAACATTTACAAAAAGTGGCCAGCAATATTTTCTTGAAACAGCTGACAGTTAACTTTTTGGAAAAAAAAAAAAAAGTTCCCTATGTCAGCATGGGTTTTCTCTGGGTACTCCGGCTTCCTCCCACAGTACAAACACATGCAGGCTAGATTCTTGGTTCTGGTGACTCTAAATTGTCCGTAGGTTTGAATGTGACTGTGAATAGTTGTCTGTCTCTATGTGTCTGTCCAGGTTGTACCCTGCCTCTCACCCAGTCAGCTGGGATAGGCTCCAGCCCAGCCCGCAACCCCCAACAGGTTGAGCTGTTACTGAAAATGAATGAAAGAATCAGCAACGTTTTGATATTATTCTCTGTAAAATACAGTATACGATGTGATATTTGAGCTCATGCATGCACCATTCAGTGGCCAATCAGTGGTCTCAGACATTCGTTTATTCATTTTCAGTAACCACTTATCGCGGGCGGGGCTGGAGCCTATCACAACTGACAGTGGGCAAGTGGCGGGGTACACCCTCGACAGGTCACCAGACTATCACAGGGCTGACACATAGAGACAGACAACCATTTACAGAGAATTTAGAGTCACCAATCAACCTGCATGTCTTTGGACCGTGGGAGGAAGCCGGAGTACCTGGAGAAAACCCACAGAGGGCATCCCCCGCCTGGGGATTTGAACCCTTCACCCTGTGTTTGACCCAGAAACCCTCTTTCTGTGAGGCAACATTGCTAACCACTGCCTCCCTGGACTAAAACAGTCCAAAAATAAATCCCAAATCCAAAAGCTAGAGTGTTTAAAGTCAAATTTGTGATGTTATAGGGTATAAAGTCTAGAGCTGCTCCACAGACAACAAATTGGGAAAGATGTTACAGATGGCACTGAGAGCACCCAGGGGAACGTTCTGAGTATATGTGTACATTTTCTTTTTCAGAACGGAGAACAATACAATAGAATAAAGCTCCTTAAGGAATAAAAAAAACAAAGAAAACAAACATTCTGTGCATCCCCAAATTCAGCCTCCTTCATCGTCTATGCAGCAGCTCCAGACTTTAAACCCTATGACATCACAAGTTTGAGATTTACTTCTCTGGTTTCTGGCTCTGAGAGCAGCTCATGTTCACAAATACTAATTAAACCTTCCCTGGCTATGGAAATGACATACTGGAGCGCTTAATTCAGGGGGTGTTCCCCTTTAAGTGTTTTTCAGACATGTCAATCGCACATCAGCATGCCTGCAGTTAATTAAGACATGACTCTTAATCCTGCTGAGAAGTTGAGTCTTTTAGTGAGACAGTCGATGAGCCGGTGGCTTAGCAATGTCAGCTCATTAGTGAAAACTCTGCTCTCAGGTTTTTTAAAGATACCTGTTTGCCTCTCTGTGCTTGTACTTTCTCAGGTGATGTAGTCAGTGACTGTGACACATTATAAGCCTCAACAGCTCCACAATTCTAATTTTGGGGAGTTCTCCTTCACGTTTGGCTGCGGCGCAGTGTTGTCACATTGTGGAAGAGAAGCGTAAAATTTGAAACACGGCTAAATTAGCATAAGAATATAAGGCATCACAAATGCATGAAATGTATTGGAGGACTTTACGCAAAACAGACACAAAATATGAAAAGCAAAGAAGAGAGTACAGCACAAGTGGAGACAGAATGGGCTGAAACAATGAGGATTCAGTCATGCGATGCTGAAAATCTGGCACTGGAGTGGACTTCATCTTTTGCATATTGTTCCAAAATCATTCTTAAGGACTGAAAGTGTGCTTGACTATCATATAATATCCAATTTACGCAGACTTGTGGCAGATTTCAACATCAAAGCCTCATGGGGCCCCGTCATAACTCTGTGATTTAAATACTTTTCATTGCATTTAATAGTTTTGTTGTGAAGTGCTTACTGAGATTGGGTCTCCTTCCCAGGCATTACAGTCCTCCTCTCCCTGACTGTCTTTATGCTGCTGGTTGCAGAGATTATGCCCGCCACATCGGACTCGGTGCCTTTAATAGGTAAGCCAGACTGAAGTTAAAAGCAGTCTCTATATGGGTGTCAGCTGCTATCAGTGGGAAGACACGGGTGGAAATTTGTGTAGTCATTTCTCATCAGGGGCTCTCTCATATCACAGTGTAACTAAGTTTAAGCAGACATCCAATGTTTGGATTTTCTTATTTAGAGATCAGTCACCATGTTTGAAACAGTGGAATGAAAAAGTAGGTTTGGCATTTCTCGGAGACACTTAAAATGAGCAGAGCGCTCGAGGCAAGAAGGGAGCTTTCGTCTCTTTGGCTCTGAGCTCTTTTCCTTACACTGAAACCTTCATTTTATCCTCATGTTTTCTCCTTGAAATGTTAACCTGCATGACAACACTCTCTGTATCCATTCTTCTCTATTTCTCCTTCACCCAGCTGAGTACTTTGCCACCACCATGGTCATCGTTGGTCTCTCAGTAATTGCTACAGTTCTGGTCTTACAATATCACCACCACGACCCAGATGGAGGCAAGATGCCGAAGTGGGTGAGTGTCGTTTCATGTTACACCCTTATCTGGATTTCTTTTGGTTTTTAATTAGGTTATAGTCAATTTTGCTTCACTTAAAGTGGTTTATTAAGATTAATATGCTTTTGCTTGTGTAAAACTGTGTGTGTCCGTCTTTTAAAGGTCCAGTGTGTAGGATGTAGGAGGATATATTGGCGGACATACGATATAATATAATAAGTTTGTTTTCTTTAGTGTACAATCACCTGAAAATAAGAATCATTGTGTTTTTGTTCTTTTAGAATGAGCCATTTATCTCTATACATATATATATATATATATATATATACACATATATAGGGAGCGGGTCCTCGTCCACAGAGTCTGCCATGTTTCTAGCCCCTCCCTGATGAGGCAAACACTATAAAAAAAACACACAGATTTGTAACGTGAAACTGCTTTATTCAGTATTTTTACTGGTTTAAATCATCTGGTCCATTTATTTTAGAGAGGAATAATTCTCTGTGGATAATTCAGCTCATGGTAAAAACCTCCTGAACAATGAACACTAAAGGAATCATAAGTGGAAATTCATGTTTGGCACATGGGAGAAGTTTCAGCTGGTTGCAGTCTGCATCCTCACCACTAGATGGCACTAAATTATACACACTGCTCCTTTAATAGGCAGAAATGTGCTGAGAGGTTTTTGGTCACGTACAGAATTCAGAGTCTGGCCATTGTGTTTCTATAAATGTCTTTCTTTCTTGCACAATGGGATCACCTGACATAATGAATGACATGAAATTAAGATGTGATCTGATGTAATGATGTAATGAAAAGATTTAGAGTCAAAAAATGCTACAATACAAAGTGGAGTGGTTACCTGCAGTTTAAAACGCCTGCTGCAGTGAAATGATTTTACCTTTTGTACTTAAACTGTTGACCAAAATTTGAAGGTGCTGCATTACACAGTCAGAAACTGTTATGTTCTGGGGCTGGTATAATCAGCTTTTCATTATAATTGGCCAGTTTCAGAAAACTGACCTTCACAAGTGGAGCACCTCTCTGAAATGCTGAGCTGATTTGGCTTTTGTGAAAATTCTTCTGGTAACCTAAGAAAATTAGACAAAAAAGGATAAAGGATAGAGGATGAAAGACAGGTAGTAATTCTTTGATGGATGTGTCCTACATTTATTGAAAGTTAATAAGACCCTTGTTAAATTGATTTCTTTTTCATTACCTTTTGATCCCATAGACCCGTGTGATCCTACTGAACTGGTGCGCCTGGTTCCTGCGCATGAAGCGCCCAGGTGAGGAGCGGGTGCGTTCAGCCTGTCACAACAAGGCTCCTCGGAACAGCCTGACCAGCATGGACCTCAACGCCAGTGCCTCTGCCTCCCAATCCACCAACGGCAACATGCTCTACGTTGGCGTCCGTGGCCTGGAGAGTATTCACTACTCCACAGCTGCCACCTCTCCCGACTCTGGGGTCCTCTGTGGACGGCTGGTTGGACGAGCAGGTGAGGAGGAGATGCTCCTTCCCACAGGTCAGAGCGCCTCAGTTGCCAGCGTGGAACCAGAGCTGATCAAGATCCTGGATGAGGTGCGTTACATAGCCAAACGCTTCCGTGACCAAGACGAGGACGAGTCAGTGTGCAACGAGTGGAAATTTGCTGCGTCTGTTATCGACAGGCTTTGTCTCATGGCTTTCTCCCTCTTCACTATCCTCTGCACCATTGGGATCCTCATGTCAGCTCCTAACTTTGTAGAGGCCATTTCCAAAGACTTTTTCACCTAAGGACTTTATCAGGAAACATAAAATAAAGCCTATACCAATCTCTCTTATCACAGAGTAACCATTTGTAAGCTCATGGGGTGGTCATTTGTATACAGCTAAGTCTGCTATATGGGAATCGTATATCACCAAATATTCAACCACACATTACACAAAGTCAAACTGAGGACATGCACAGTAATCCAGGCAAAGTTTATGTAATGCATAAATAATTTAAAGGTCCAGTGTGTAGGATTTAAGGACATCTATTGGGAGAAATGGTGTATAATATTCATTGCTGTGTTTTCACTAGTGTATAATCACCTGAAACTAAGAATCTTTATATTTTCCTGACAGTAAAATCAGACATTTGTATCTACATATGGAGCGAGTCCTCCTCTTTGGAGTCAGCCATGTTATTTCTACAGTAGCCGAGAACGGATAAAAAACACTGACTCTAGATAGGGCCATTCGCGTTTTTACATTAGCCACCATAGTCCTCCCACACACTTGACTCACAGGAGAAGTTTAAGTTCTCCAACATCATCGCCGGATGCCACTAAATCCTACACACAGGACATTTAAAGGAACAGCGTGTATGATTTAGGAGGATTTAGTGGCATCTAGTGGTGAGGATTGCACATTGCAGCCAACTGAAACTTCTCCTGGTTAGAGTTCTTTTAGTGTTCATTGTTCAGGAGGTTTTTACCAGGAGACAAATTATCTGCCAAGGTCTCTTCCTCTCTAAAACAAACAAACCAGGTGATTTAAACCAGTAAAAACACTGAATGAAGCAGTTTCACGTGAAAACAAAGTGTTTGTCCGATGCCATCTGACTCATGTGGAGGGGCTGCTTACTTGGGTGGCCAACGCAAAAATGCAAATGGCCTTATCTAGAGCCATTTTTGGTTTGTCCACTCTGGGCTACTGTAGAAACATGGCAGTGCAACATGGCGACCTCCAAAGACAAGGACCTGCTCCCTATGTAGATATAAAGGGCTCATTCTAAGGTAATGAAAACATTCTTATTCTTATTTTCGGGTGATTATGCACTGCAGAAACATTCTTATTATATTCCATTTCTTCTGTATATCCCCCTTAATCATACACACTGGACCTTTAATGTATGCCTTACATGATGGTGGTGAAAATGGCCAGTTTTTGCCTTTTATATAACCCAGTCTGATGCTATATTAAAGGAAAACAGCTAAATTTGATCCTCTAGTCCTTTTTTAAAATGACTGAAAAATACAAAGCATTGTTTAAGTGGTGTAATTTGCAAAACTACAAAGAATGCAGCTGTGGTTTGTTATGTGATGTGTATTATTGTTCAGTACAATGCATATACTCTCACTAAAATTTACCCCGTATATACAAAACTAACAGCTATCTTGTATTGAAATGTATTTGTCGTATCACATGACTGGTCGTATATCCAAAGCAGTCATGTGATGTTGTAAGTTGCCTTTCTATAAATGAAAATTATTGCCAGTTATAAGCATAATCATGTTACTCCTTGGTTTTACTTCTTGATTATTTTTTATTTTACATTTATGATAATTAAAGAATTACCGTAAGGTCAAAATAGTTGAACAGATTTTCATGTCAGTTAATACAAATGTATGTTTTTGTTGTACTGTGACATTTCACAAATAAACATTTTTTCTATTTGAAAACGAGGACTGAATATCAAAAATGTTTTTTGCTGTACAGAACTGTGTGTTGTGTACCAATGTAAGTATACTCCTGCTCCATCTACATTTTCTTATCTGGACTACAGATGATAACCCTGACCTTTGCACTGTCAGATTGAAACAACTGAGACAGACTGGTAGAGCAGGCTTTTTGACATCCAGCCAGCAAAAGCCAAAAACTACTCTGGAGAGATAAAACAAAAAAGTACTCCTGTAGCATTTTGTGGAGGATGATGAGTCATCAGCCTATATCTAATTCTGCAAGACTGAATGAACTCAACAAAAAAGCTGTTACAGAAAATATAGCCTTGAGACAGGAAAACAATTTTTAAGGGAATTAGAGCGCACATCACTTCCCTCTTTCCATAAATGTAAAAAACAAATGATTTGAAAAAGAAAACTCACCGACAACTAAAACATGTAGAGGCAATCTTATATTTGACACAAGACACCTAGGAAGAACATTTACTTTTATTGATCGCCAGATTACCAAAGAATTAATACAGTTTATTCAAAGTTTTATATATTGCAGAAAAACAGCCCTGTTATTGGATTATTACAGATGCATTAATGTGTAATCTCAACTTTTTTATATACTGTTGAGTAGTGTCTTGTCGAGTACATCACATTTTATAAGATTGTCATATTTTGTGCTTATTTTAATCTGTAAAGTAACAAGTAACAAGCTGTCAAATAAATATAGTGTAGTAAAAACGACAAGTATTTGGCAACCTTCAGTATGTGAGAAGCCTACGTGTACTTACCCGGCAGTAAAGGAAGTCATGTATGTCTGCATTCGAAATTTTACTTGAGTAAAAACACAAAAGTCTTTAAGGTAAAAGTGTTCATTATGCACAATGACCCATCATGGAAAAATAAATATCTACATTGATAACTTGAATTGGAAAAATATTTGTAATCTTCCATACAAATATCTACATCCCAATAAAATAAGGGAAGTTTTCAATTCAAATTCATATATAATTATTATCTAGCAAGTCATTATTCTCGTAAATTTGAGATGCAGAAAAAAAATGCTGCACCTCTTCTGACAATGTGTCTATACTCAAAAATTTAAGAAAGATGTGTCCCAATTTATTGCTGATAGGAAAATGTACTGTTTGGTATCTACAGCAACAATAGTAAAAACAAACAAACAAAAAAAACCTCAAGAATTATGTAGAATCAATTCAATTATTATTTTAGCAAAGTATCATGTTCCTACATCCAAATTTAATCATTTAAAATATTTATTTATAGTATTTTAAAACAGGAAACTGCAAAAACCATTTATTTGTGTTCCTTTAATGGTTTCATTTAAACGATTCCTCTTGGCTCTGTTGTTTTGTCTGTATTAATGATTTCTTTGTTGATTTCTGCTGCCAATAAAGATAAAATAAAGGTATAATAGTATTGATTTAGACTTCCAATGTAGAAAATACCACCTCATTATGGAGGGAGTCATTACTTTATGCTGGTGAAGCGTCAGATGTCAGGTTGCAGCTGAAGGCATATGTATTTCTCTCAAAATACAGTTCAGTAATAATTTCACTGCATTACAAAACTGCCATCTAGTGATTGAGATTAACAGGCACATCCATTTACACCATTTTGATTTTTTTTTTTTCTAAAGTGGTTTATAGTTTAATGAGCAGTTCAATCTAAGTTAAGATATACGTTATGTTTATTTTAGACCCTTGACTAAATAACGGCTCATTGTTTTGTTTTGTTTTTCTTACTGGAAGTCAAATCAGTTGGTGGGAACCTTAATTCACAGCTCGGGTTGTTTCCGGTTGGGATTCTCTGCTACCACGTTCGTGTGTGCGCCGTTGTTATGTCGCCGGCTGGAAACACAGGCTCTCATTCAGTTTTGGCTTGAAGAGACGCAGCTACATTTGGTTTGAGCTTTGAGTTTAAAGTCTCTTTTGTCTATAAAAAAAATGTCGGAGGCTTTGTTGCAGTGGTGTGTGGACCAGTTACACCACAAGTTTGGGCTGGAGGCCTGTGAAGACATCGTGCAGTGAGTAACGTTAACGTTAACGTCAGTTAGCATAAATATGACTGTTAAAGTGCTGACAGCTCTGCCAACAAGCTAACATCTGTGTAGGAGATGACAAGCTAGTTTGGTAGGTTGTTAGCTTGGTTTAAGTTTCCCAGTGTGGTTGGATTAAATCAAATTACTGCCAATTAACTTTAAGTTTGTGTGTTAAATATACAGCGTTATAAGTTTGGCATTAGAGCTGTCACAGTAGCAGGTAGACAGTGTGACCGGTGTGTTAGCTGTGTCCGAGCTAACGGGTCACTATTGCTCTCAATCCCAAACTTGTCAGCCTTTATTAAATCTAGTAAATCCCATTTTCGGCGTGACACATCCTTGATGATGAAATTTTGTATCTGTGCCGTTATATACCACGTGAATGATTACAGTTTTGTAACTGACTTTTGTAATTTGAGGCCAGGAAACTAATGAATTGTTAAATAATCAGCCTGGAAACACTGTGGCATGTTTTCAGCGTCATGTAATCTCTACAGAGGCACAAGAAAGATTATTTAAAGGTCCCACATAGGAGTGGCTGATATGGTTTTACATGTCAACCTGACAGTTTGCCTTCAAATATTCAGTAAAACCAACAGGTGATTTCCTTCTTTTAGTAAAATCCTAAATGGTTGAGTTGTTTTTTTCCACCTGGACCTTTATGCTCTGCCATTTCTCCTCTAATCATCACGCTGTAACCTGTGACAGGCTGTTATGATACCACAACTATCACACATTCACATATATGTAGTTTTTTGTTGAGCGGCGAGCATCACATAGGTTTACATTACCAAAGGTTTATGACAAAATCAATTGATGACACTGACTCCTGTGTGTGCACGGTGAGAGAGGAGAGGGAGAGACGCTGTGCTGCTGCCAGAGGAGCCGCTGAATGAGTTCCCTCTGAGCAGTAACTCACTAAAAGAGTCTGAGAAGTCCGGGGCTGTTCATAAAACATTCAGGATGCCACAGTTTATTCCACACTACTGAAGCTGCTTCTTTTTTGGAACCACCTTAGAGTCGCTAACATTTTTTTTGCTTTCAGCCTTGCTTGCTGTTGCTGTGCGTAACAAGTATGACGACAATAAGTCAACAAGACAAAATATTGCGACTATCACATGATGAATTTTTCATATCATATTCAAAATTATACTGGTATTATTGTGAACGATATGATATGGCTCAACCCTAGTCCCATATTCGAAAAAAGTCAGATTCCCATGTCTTTTTTAAATAGAAAGCAGGTATAGGTGCTATGTCAAAATGCTCAATCCATAGAGAAATGCACAGTCAGTATTCAGAAATTGTGCCTATAAATGAGCTGTCAGGACTTCAGTGAAGTTGTGATGTCACAACTATACCATATGAAGTATGAAGAACCTGCAGCTACAGTCCCATTACAGTCATTCCCAGCTGCAATGACGGTGCAGAGATGCGAGAGCGCAGATGTGAAAGACCAACACTGACCAGTCAGTACAGACTGGGCTTTCTCAGAAGTGGAGCTTAAAAGAGACGGGTGCTAAAACTTAGTGTTTCAGGAAGAGGGTGAATACAGGTATGTTCAGGCAGACAGTATGAAAAAAATTTGTTTTTCGAACATTAAATCATGCAGGCGCAAGACAAAACGTATACAGACAAATAATATAGGCACACATGCTGATTGTTCATTCCTAGTTCTTATTTTTTATTCTAATTAGACATTATTGTCTCACAGTCATCTCCTAATTACATAAATAAGATACAGAGGGCAATCAACTTAGTTTGTATGATATACAAGCGTAAATAAGTCCCACAAGTAATCGTTTTATGAAAAAGAAAAAGAGCAAAAAACAGTATGTATCAGGCCTCGTGAAGTATCCTAAATAGTTATAAATAAAATCCATAAAGCAAACAAATTCTTGAATATTATTTA